ATATTATATTATATTATTATCAGGGCATTTTGTGCGAGTAATTGTAAAAATACTGGTATCGGGCCCAATATCTGTATCAGTACACCACAAGTCTTAAACAACAAAAGAAAAATTAAATTATAATAAACTGTGTTTGGATTTCTTGAGTTTTGTACATAATGATTAAGTTCATGTAATCTTTTATTGCTAATCTTTAAAGCGTTCCATTAATTCAAATGAAACATCCATTATTTGATATTATTTGTCAAATTAAATTACATTTTAAAACATATTTTAAAAGGCTGTATAATTAATCGTAAAAAATTATACATTTCTCATGGTTTAAAATTAAACTAAAATGGTATCAATTAAACTTTTACAATTTTATTTTAAAGGATTTATTGATATAATTTTGTTTGCTTTATTACAATGTTATGACTAGAAGCTACTATATTACCCCAAGTCTCTCAGCTCAGCAGCCAGACTTCTGAGACTTGGAAACTACTTTAACAAATCTAAATGACTTGAAATAAAACAAAAACGCTCATTAAAAAACCTGTTCATTACAGATGTGGGTGCAGACAGCGTGAGCAGCACCCTGAGCTCTCTCAGCAGCGTCAAACCCCCGCCTGCACAGGACGACTTCGACGTGTTCGCTCAGACCAGAACCGGAGCCATAACTGAACCACAGAAGACGTAAGAGCGTACCCAACAACTTGGCCTTTAGCCTGTAGTTAATTTTGATCAAACAAAGAAAAAGTCAAAYGTGTTTTCTAACTGTTGTGTGATCCCATGCATGTTTCCTCTCAGTACCACAGACAGTCGCACTGCTGCTGGGCCCCCTCCCACTCTGGATGTCCTACAACAAACTGCAGTAGGGGTGAGTTTTACTCATGACTTCAGCTAATCTACATGAACATAAGATAGATRTTATTTATTCCTGTGTGATTGACTYTTTAAAGAGATAATTCAGATTTTCTGAAGTGCTTTTTTTTGGTAGTCTGATGTACCTGAAGTTGAATTTACTCTGGACTAGACCCCCCACACTGACTAACCTTTACTCCTTCAGGAGGATTTTTCTTTAGCCTTTTTTACAAAACAAACTCGTAAATTGCATAAAAAGCAAACCCATCTTCAAACTGCTTCTGAGTCACTAATCATAAATGTGTGAAGATCTTTCACTGCATCACACACTTGAGCCCCGATGCTGGCTTACCCATCATATCCTGATAGATTTATTGGTGCATTGCTTGGCAGCTCAGAGGCATAACAGTGGTGGGGTTGACTTCACTCCCCACTAAAACCTTCCTGAAATCTCACATCGCTGACAAGAGAGTGTGTTGAYTTTTGATTCTCTCAATTAAATACAGTCATGCTGCTGTTTACTGCAGGTAAGATACTGACTAATCATAAGGGCTCCACAAAAAGACACTTCAGAAAATCGAACCTAGTCTTTRGAGAATCTTAAGCGATGCTTTGTCTTGGTGGTTTTTCCTGAATTGGGATTTTCAAGTGTTTGTCGTTATTTATACTTACTGATATTCTATATAATAGTTAATGAGCCTATTTTCAATAAATAATTAGAAAAAGGTTTTTGGTTGAACCAGAGGGAGGTTTCCTGCAGTAGATGTTGTGTCAGTTTTCTTCACAACGCTGCACTTACAGCTTTCTCTTCATTTTGCCTTTTTTTTTCATGTAAAAAATTTGTACAGTGTCACATCATTCATAAACATTTGCTTTTATTTTATTTATTTTTCGCCCCCATTTAAGTTGCATTTGAGTTTCTGCTGAAATTTCTTCTAAGTTGTTGTGTTTTGTGTTGTGTTGTGTTTTGGGTGGGGTATTTTTGTTGTGTGTTTTTGTGTTCTGGCCACCTGCGGCGCTCCTCACTCTGCTCCTCAGGGCGCCGGGCGTCAGTCCTCTGTCATGGATGACATAGAGGAGTGGCTGTGTACTGATGTGGTGAGCCAAGTCATCATTTATTATTCCTGCTTGCTTTTTCTTTGCTTTTCTCACTCTGTTACATCCCTGCCTTTATCTCCTGGTTTTGAAGCCTGGGAATAACAAATTGATCTGGTTTCTCATTTCCTTTGACACTTACTCAGTTTACTAACCATGTCATTAAGGACATCAGTGTTTTAATAAAAAAATGGGCATGAGTCAAAGTTTTGATTGGAAAGCAGTTTTAGAAATGAATCATTGTGTTTTGAGTTGATTGGTAGAGACAGGTAAGTTGTATGAATCAACCAATAAAATTAATTTTGAACAAAAACAGGTCATTGATTGTGCACAACTCAAAAAAACAATAAATTCAGTCATTTTGGACCAGCTAGAACAATTGAACGGTTGCCCCACTCTTTGGAATTTGATCTGGGGACTTTCAATTGATGGTCAGAAGACCGATGAAATCTGACTGGAYGATGTGCTTGTAAAATATCACATGAGTAAGAAGGTGCAATACCATGAACAGCTTTAAAAACAAACATTAAAAGTTTAAAATCAACCCGAAAACAAACTGGCAGCCAGTGGAGGAAGTTAAGTACAGGCCTGATGTGACTGTGAGCAGCAGCATTCTGGACCAATTGCAGCCAATAGAGGGAACCCTGGCTTATTCCAACTTAAAGTGCATTGCAATAATCAATGCAAGAACTAATAAAAACATGCATCAACTTCTCAAGGTCCTTTCGACTCAGGAAGGGTTTAACCCTAGCCACAAGACAGTTGAAAAAATCTGGTTCTAACAACACAGTCAATCTAGACCAGGGGTGGGCAGTCTTGGTCCTCGAGGGCCACAGCCCTACAGGTTTTATGTTTTTCCCTGCTCCAACACACCTGATTTAGACATTGAATTACCTCGTCCAAGTTCTGCAGTATGGAGGACTGACACTGACATAAAAAAGCAGAAATATATAAATGGACCAATAAATAAATTCAATTAAAAATATGCCAATTAAATTAAAAAAGAGAGCTTTATCT